CAATGTTATTGTCAATGCAATGGCTCATAGCTAAAAAGAGTATGACTTCTGCAACAAATCAATTTATCCTGTGCAATAATCATAAAAAGTCTTGTCTTTTCTTTCATTCAATTTGAAATCAAAATTCTTAGGGAACGCCGATCGATTATTGAAAATATAAACACGGACCATTATATATATTTATAAACAAATTTATAAGCATTAGAATCTTATTCAGCAATATGTTAAAAGGACAGTCACCACAAATTAATTGAAACAATGCCTACAATTCCTTATATATTGATAAATGTACGATTTGTATTACCTCTCTTCACATTTCTTCGAACTAATATTATAGATAACATGAAAATTTAATGAACGCCCAAAATTGCAAAATTGAAAATATGCAAGTGACGATGATGTCACTACAACTTGTCGTATTGAAAGCCGTCTACTGAATATAAGACGAATTTATTTTCATTGCTCATTTTAAAATTGCAAAATAAAATCAGGTAATTTCATTGGCTATTCTAACGTGAAATGTAAAGGAGAGTGCTTGTTATTCTAAATTAAAATTGTAAGGTAGTTCTAAAAAAATGCAAAGGATAGTTGTTGCCATCATAAAATAAAATGCAAATGATAGTTCTAAAATAAACTTTTATGTATGTTTTATTATGTTGTGGATTGGTTATTACATATGCAAATAAAGGCCAGTTTTACTTCGGCCGAGTATCTTTTCAAAGATAATTCTTGTTACCCATTCCACGAGATCAACCATCAGAGTATTTGTTAAAAAGATAAGTGTCAGATGTTTCAAAATAATGAATTCACAATTTTTCGTAAAACTGACAACATCCTGCTTAAATATAGTTATCCTTTCTCACAATCTTTCTTTCCAACCAGGATGTCAGATTTATCATCTTCTTTATAAATTAATGCAATAAGGATGTTTCTGTATTTTTATGTGTTTGTTTGCTTCGTACGTTATCTGATAGAGTCACTTAAAAACATTTTAAGCAATACATTTGTATGCTACTAAATGTACAAAACCAAAATTGTATAATCCGAACTATTACTGATTTATTTTACATTTTGTTTATCTCGATAGTACGGAAAAGTATAAGTGCCATGTGTGTGTGTTTTTTATTTCGACTTGCTAATTTGAGATTTCGAGTTACATAACTCGAAATTTCGACTCGAAATTTCGACTGAATAACTCAAAAGTTTGACCCACTATCTCGATATTTCGACTTACGATTTAATAACTCGAAATATCGACTTACAAACTCAAAATTCCGATTTTCTCAGTCGAAATTATGTGATTTTATGTCGTCAGAATCGGATAAGTCGCAATTAGATATGAAAAGAACAAAAGACGATTTGAATAAAAGCACAAATCTATTCAAGGTTTAGACAAAAACTCGGATAAGTTATTTGTAAAAACGGAGAAATTAGAGGAAGAGTTAGTGGACCTAGAATCGCGATAAATTCGTAACAATTTATTATTCTGCGAAATACCAGAGGAGGGCACCGAAGAAAACCGTAAGCAGCTAGCAAAAGACTTCTGCAAAAATATATTGAAAACCTTTTCCGCCAATGAATTTGTGTTCGACAACGCATATAGAATTGGGCAGAAAAAAAGGTTCGAAACACAGACCTGTGGTGGTCAGATTTCATTACTTAGAGGAGCGCGAAGCTGTCCGGAAATTGTCTTTTGAAAGGGATATCGCCGACTCTATGAAATCAACAAAAAAGGGCGTTTGAGCCCAACTACATTGAAGTGCCATGGAGGCACGAAAACCACTGTATCCAGTTATGGAACTCGCCAGGCATTAACATAAAAACGTAATATTCATTGGAAAAAACTTTTCATTAAGGGGGAAGTGTACATACCAGACGATGCGATGGAATAGGAAAAACTACTATATTATATATAAAAGTATTCGTCTTTAAAGTACTCTTCTGTAAATTATATAAAATGCATGTCTTTCTATTATCGCGGAATCGGCTAAAATTTTGTTATTTGTTTTATGCCAATATAACTATTTGATTTAAGTTGAGTTAAAATATATAAATTAACATTTGGGATTTTTTTTACAAAACTGAGGATAAATAAGTTTTCAAATTTGTGATAAGTCTCTGATATTTTGAATAAATGATCGAGACAATATCTGTTATGGAGGATTACATACCGACTTCTTAGTGTCAAAATGATATTTTTATAGATTCTCAGTTGAGATTTTATTTTTTCCTATATACCTATTACGGATGTGAAATGTTGTTTTCAGATGATCATTAGAAATGATACATGGGTTTCTGTATCGCGCAGACTTACTAATTTATAAACAATTATTGGTCTAATCATAAGATTCTGTAAAATGCGTAATGAACGCGGAAAGGCGTTGCATTCATCGTATTTACTTTTGATATAAGAGGTAATGTGATACAGTCGGCATCATACTTGCGTCCACCTTTATTAAGCGACTTTTTTTATTAGGCATCCTCTACAAATCCCGCCCGATGATTTTTACTATGTAAGATCATTCTATTAAACGACGGCTATATATCGCGGCCTGCATCCACTAAATGTTGCCCAAATATACAAAATTCAGTGTTTAAGTATCAATTAAACGGCCGTGACAAACAATCGTCGTTCAAAAACGAATAAATTTACAATTTAAGTCGTTTCAAAATCGGATAAAATCGCTGAAAACGAAACAAGCATTTTCCAGAACGTAATATTTACTTAGCCATATTTTGTCAGAGCAATAAACAACTACAACACCGCATTTGTCATGTGCTAAGAGTGAACTCCCTTCCTGTAAAAAATCGAAAATGACCTCGGAACGAGCGAAAAAATGACAGACAGTTAAATAGACCGGAGAAATCGAATGAGAAAATCGTACGTGGAATTCTGAGTAAATAGCAAATGGCATCGTTTCTAATCGAAACAAAACGTAAAACGTAGTGAACAACACATTACTGAGAGGTTACTTCACTGTTCAGTTACTCTGAGCTCTTCCTTGTCGGTGTTGTAGGTGCTCATATGATGCTTTATAAAAAAATCTACCCATTTAATATGACCTTTCGACAAGTAAGCAAAACAAAAATACTAGATCTCTAAAAAACTAACTGAATCTGAAATTTGGTAGTGGAAAAAAGTAATTGCTAAAATAATAAAAAAATATCTGGAGCTCTGGCTGATGATTTGAAGGTATGCTCTGCAGGAGATGTGCATGGGCATATTAACAATATAAGACAATATGCTTTGTTTCATGGTCACAATGTCCTGCTTGAAAGTATTATGACCGTAAATCACATTTTTACCTAAATTTCTGCCAAAATTCAAAAACAAAGACATATTGATGACTCAAATTTTCCGGAATTCTATTGGAAACCACTTTATTAAAATACCACTTTTTGGCAGTCCCTTAAGTGGTCTCTAAATACAATATTGACTGTACTTATCTTTTTGTTAGGATGCAATTCCAAAGTCCTGTGGTAATACAAGCTTCTTTCACTACACGGCACGCTGTCTAATATGTATGTGTAACACGATTAATATTGGACTTCCACATTAATATTGGACGACCTGACGTACTGTATTAAAAGTACAGTACATCAGAACAAAGGGATGACGTCATAGTAGTAATTTAATCATCATTAAGTTTGGAAACACCACGATAAACTTTTAACTTAAGATTATTATATCCTTTGCAAAATACTTTCATATTTCTGATAAATAAATAAATATAAAACGATCACGTAATTCTTATTCGTTCATGTTTTGTGTATGTATCAGGGTCAATAATTCAGATAACTTAATATATTGTAGATTGTTTAAGTTATTTCTCTTGATTTCACGCAATTTTAATCATGTGACAATTTCGTTTTTGTTTGTAAAAAGTGTCAGAACCGTTCACTATTTAAGGAACAAGATGTGTAAGTGGCCGGATAGCTCAGTCGGTATTGCCGCGGAACAGTATTCAAATCCTGGTCAAGATGCACATTTTCCTCACCCCGTGACATTAAGCTGCAAGCAGAAACGTGACTGAATACATTGGCCGAGACGGTTATACAGGAAACCGTCTCATATAACAAGCCAACAGCTAATGAATAATAAAATATTACTACCTTTATTTAAAAGAAATATACTTTTTAAAGTAATGTCAGGAAGGAATTTCCCCTATTTAATGCGGTCTTTGTTTATTTTGTAATAGATGAATATATGTCACGATTCAGAACTGTTTACAATTAAAGGGAGAAGATGAATAAGTCAGTAGAGCCAAGGAACAGTCTCCAAGGTGCCCGAGTTCGAGTCCAGTGTTTTAAAGATTGTACAAGGATTGATAAAAAAATTTTGACCCGATATACTTCTGGTAGTAGTAAAACTCAACTTATGTTCTTACTTTTCAATAATATCGCCCTCTACGTCAATGAACTTTGCACACATGTTCCCCGACTTGTTCCTCAAAGAACTCATTGACCGCCTCTATGACACCTTCAGTGCTTCCATAACGTCTACCACGAAGCTTGGTTTTCAGTTTCGGAAACAGGTAGAAGTCAGAGGGGCCAAATCCGGAGAATATGGGCGAAGGGGAAGAATTTTAAGGTCGCCGTCAGTTGCAGCAGCCATCACAATTTGAAATGTGGGAGCTGGCGCATTTTAGTGCATGAGCAGAACGCCTTGAGTCAGTTTGCCACCCCCCCCCCTTTAACGCGCGATTTCCTGACGCAGACGTCTCAATTTGTCTGCATAGTACGTCTGCATTGTATGTTCCGTTTATGGTACGACCTTGCTCATGAAAGTCAATCATGATTATCCTCTGACTATCCCAAAACATTGAAGCCATCATCCTTCCTGCTGATGGCACCCTTTTGAATTTCTTTGGAGGTAGTGAGCCAGGGTGCTTCCACTGTATGCTCTTTTTTTGGATTCTGGATCAAATTTCTGTCTCGCTACGAGGATGAACCTAATCTTATATACCGGATCGTAACTGAGTTTGAAATATATGCTGTGGTGTTTACAGTTAGCCAACGATTGTCTTTATAGAAACCACCATGAAATCTGCAGTACCAAACATTCTCCTCTGGATGAAGTCGACCGAATTATATTTTGAATATATAAACGCTGGATAGGATGGCTGGCTGTCAAACAAACATTCAGGTTTAGATACAGCTGAATTTATAATTGCAAGGTGACCAAGGTCATTTGCACATCCGCCATTACTTCTGTTGATGTAGAAACGACGATCATGTAGATAGTTTAAGATATGTCCTTTAATTGAGAAATAGTTGAATGTACTTGTGGAAGTTAAGTCTGGCCAACTCGAGTCAATAACTCGGCTCTTATCAAACCAGTTGTTTAAATCGCTATCTTCCCCGTTGAAGATCACGTATGCAACTTCTTTGTCAGAATCATAGAATGCAAATTTAACCAGCTTGATATCAAGGTTTGACCAGTTGTCTAAGACGTTATCCCGATAGTGTAAACCATGAGAACGTTTCATAGAAACTGGTTTGTCTGGATTTGAATTCTTTCCTGAAAATGACGAAGCATAAAATAACGCTCACTTGTTTAATTTTAACATGATAAATGAAAGATTGGCAAATAAGGAGATTAATTAATTAAACATACAAAAAAGACATAAAGGAAATTAAGCTGCTATATTAAATAACAATATTAGAAAAACATATAATTATAGCGCGGCGACTTCTGCTTTTTTATTCATTATACATTTTGACCATTCAATTTACAGTGTTCACGAATCAAAATAAATCCATCAATGCACATTTGTGAAACTGAATGTGCTAAATTTGCTCAAATTGTAAATTCCTAGCATTAAAAACAATTTAAAACATTAAATTGTTGTTACGTTTTGTTACAAATTTATTTATTTCAATTAAGTATTCAGCGGTTTTCTTAACTAGCTTATGATAGTTTAATCTTTTAATTTTGATATAGGTATGACGTTACCTTTATGTAGAGAAGGAAGAAACGTGACCAGGTAGATATCGTGAAAGAGATGTCAGATTGATATGACAATGTTTAGGAGGAAGATATGTTCAATCAGATATGGAAATATTTAGGTTAGACATACCCAGAAAACTGAAAAGGTGTTAAATATTCTTATTGTTGAAAGGGAGTAGTATTTTTGTTTTTTACCTTGTTTTATTTCAAGCTATTTTGTTTGAGTTCTTAATAGTTTTGTCTATTTGTTTGCAATCCTTAGACTCTTGTAAAAGGAAGATCCCTCAAGAGTAATGAAAACAATTGTGATTGAGTGCGATTATGAGAGACAATTTATCAGCTTAAGTATACGATTTTCAACACATTCTTGCAAACCATGACGCCTATTGACTAGAACAATATTATAAAACTGAAGTGAAGTACAGAACAACGGATTACAGCTGACACACCACATTTGAAAATGAACTTTGTGAAAATGAACTTTTCGAAGAAAAGTAAACGAAACAAATGATAAATTAGAAGGTTTATTGTAAAGATTGTTTGTATGTATAAAATACCGTCCATCCAAGCATGTAAACACTATGACCATTACCAGATGTCCCTCTAAATACCATCCTCCAACCATCTTGCTCTAAATCCTCCGTCTTCAGTACATTCATACCACTGTTATGTAAGGGTAAATATGTAAAGTTTTATTATATATGTCAATATCGGAGATATCCGAACGATGTAGCACTTGTTATGATAAAAGAAAAATCATATTCATGGTCGCTCGCTTCCAACATAATGTGATAATATCTTTATATTATTAACGTTTAATACATTAAAAAGAAAGTTTAACTGATGTTTTTCCGTTTTTTTTTTGGTGTTCTTTGAAGTTATTAAAATATGTTATGAAATATAGTTGATATCATTTCGCCGAGTTTTTCTAAACTTACTTTTAATATGATTATTTTGAAATAAAATTCATTTAAACCCTATTTATCTCACTTTTCATATCTGTACAAACAAGAAAATTGCTTTTATTCTTCGGCAAGAAATGTTGTTTATAAAATAAAATAAAAAAAATAGATACATTAAAGCTTTTCTTTTTATTTTCTTTCGAATTCACATTATATGACAAGGGCAGTAAAGGGTTTTTATATGATTCAATATAAAACTTTATTTCTGATGTTACGATTCTAAAACTATGTTATATCTTTAATTGAATTAATTGACTTTTAAAGATATGGTATGCACATGAAATGAATACAGGAACATCAATTTACTTTTCTGCTTTAATGACTGTTATGTGAACGACATAGTATTGACAAATATTTTACCGAGACAGTTTTGATCTGGGTAAGATACTTTTCACTACAAATGCTATATAACATTCTGTAAAATTCATGTATAAACACACAAAAAACCTAACATAGGAACCATACATTTTTTTGAGAAAATAGGACAAGTTTATTTAACTCGATTAGGGTTCATAAGCGTTAAAAACAATGCAAAACTTTATAAGGATAACTTTAAGTTAGTGTATGCGACTCTGTTACTGTATGTGTTATATATCTTTTCTTTTCAATATACATGTATTTACACGTATATAACATAATATTACGTTACTTTCGGAAGAAATAGTGACAATAAGAAAGAATTAGATTAATAAATAAAATAATATGTCAATAATTTGAAATAAGCAATAGCGCGAACAAACAAATGAGTAACTTGGAAATTGTTAAGAAAATTCTTTACCTGACAGCTGATGTCTCCAATGGATGTGATTGAACAAATTCGATACTAGTATAGCCCAATGTGAGAAAAGCCGTCAAATCCATAAAGACACCATTTTTGGAATGTGTAGTAAATGTACGCTTCTATAACAAATGTCGGTATAGTACCTGCTGAATTTGCCTGCTTCTACGCTCAAACACTAGAAAGGAATCTATTATATCTGTACCAATCTAAACCATGTAAAGTAATAGTTTGAAACGTAATAACCCGATGAAAAAAGTTACGCCTATTTTGTCCTGTTATTATTATCTTATTCATTGTATTATATAATGATTAGCTTACATAACAAAAGCCTTTTCATTTGTCTATTTATCATAAAGAAAAGCTTATTTGTCAATGTAATGACTTAGCGTTGTAAAAGAATGACTTTTGCAACAATTCTATTTATATCCCGAATACATTAGTTAAAAATACTTTGTATGTTTTTCATGCAAAACAAAATTCTTAAGGAAAAATGAATAATTCTCGGAAATAAAACAAGTGTCATATTAGCAGAATGTAATAAAGCGATATGTTAAAAGAAGAGTTACCAATTCTTTGAGTCAATGGCTACTTTTCTTATATATTGATAAAACTTGTACAACTTCTTTAAACGTTTATTCAAACAAATATAAATAGATGCCGGTTTATTTTCTCCATGTCAGTTTTTGGCAAATTCAAACCTTTATTTTAGTCGCTTAAAAAATTGAAAACTATCTGAAATTGTGACATTATTTGACAGGTTTAAAACTTAATGTGTGTTGTTTCTATCTTTACTTGTTTTTGTAAAAATGCATGCGAAGCTTGCATTTGCCATGACTTTGACTTTGTCATGTGAAAATAGTTTTTTTACCATGGCAAACTTATTTTGCCAAGGCAACTATACTGACTTAATGAACGTCTACAACGGCAAATTTGACAATATGCAAGTGATGTTGGTGTCATTACAACTCAACAACGACTTTCATGTCGAAACAGAAGCATCACGTTTTTTGTTGTTGTTGTTTTTGTTGTTGTTGTTGTTTTGTTTCTTTTCAATTTTCTTTTCACACAACTGAAAACAGCCTTCCTAATTAAAGTTTATGTTTATCTCTCTTTCAATTTTTCTTCCAACAACGAAGACAAATTTGTTATCCCCTTTTTATAAATAAAATGTTTTTGGCTTTTGATGGAAAGCGGTTTCGTTTGTCATCGGAAAAATTGACTGATGCTTTTAAAGCAATAATTTGTTTGATACTACATGACGTGTACAAAACCACAATGTATCTCAAAATATTACTGATTTATCTTACCTCGTACTTTTCTCAATAGCATTTATCACTTTAGTGAAGTCGTGCTGCTTTATTGACATTTAAGGTTATTAGCCCAGACAATTCAATCGACATTCCTAAGTTTAAAATTTATTCTAAGTTTAATCTAGTTTTCATCATTTAAGGTATGACAATCCCTTTGCATTATCTTTCCTTTGAAAAGTTATTTAAATCGGCTAGAATTACTTCTACTACCTTGAAAGTAAAAGCCTTTTGTTCACACCCTAGAAGACTCAACTTGTTCTTTGAATTTTTTTGTAGTTTGTTGAACTTCATAAAATACAGGTCAAGATCAAATATGGATAACTACATAGCTATGGCCCATTTTCAACTTCAATAAAGCAAAAAATAAACATGTTGCTTTCACTTTATTACTTTTCATGTAGTTAATGGATTATTGAAATTATTTTACGAGAACAAATGTATAATCTTCAAATACGGATTGAGTTTAAATTTGGGTTTAGTCCACTATATTTTAACATCGCTTCTTTCTTCTTTTCTTCTTTGATTTTGCAAAGAAATAGTTTCCACATGCGTTCTTTAGGCGTCAAATGATTCGTATAGTTTTCAGAACACGGCTGAAACAAATGAAATACAGGTTGAAATTTAATTTGGGTTTAGACAACTAAATATTTACATAGATATAAATATATGTTAACTATCAAAGAGATATGATATCTTTAAGTATTCAAAGGATTGTACACTTATGTAGCATTATTTATATACACGTTGAGTTCAAGTTTAAGCACAGAATACTTAATATTAAGGTGGTTTTGGTTTATTTTCATGTACCAATTTCAAACTTGTTTTGGTGATTTAAGATCTTTCTTGGTACAATTATTTGTACAATGTTGTCTTATTTTCTTTAAACACAACTACTCTAACAACAATAATTCTTCGATGGACCCTTTTCAAAATTAATTAAATGGTTTCGGTCTGTTGAATATGTAGGTTAATGGGACAACTGTACTTATATGGTAAAAGCACACATTTAAGCCTTATTTTCTCAAAGTAAAATGCCTTAAGCTGAAATATTTGGCATGTGGTATTGCCCTGTAGACCATCACAAAATGTACATGTATCTAAATCTTGTCCCTTGGGGCAAAATGTTCCACGCCCCAAGGGGTCACGATTTATACTAACCTCATAGGTAAAATATGTCTAAGTCTTATTGTATGAAATATCGATGCCTGAAGCCTGAATATTGGATATATAGCATTGCCTTGTGAACTAACAAAAACATATGTGAATCATGACCAATGAGTCATCATTCGTCCAACCCAAGGGGGAACTTGATTTATATAGACTTGTGTAGGACTTTATTTTCACTCATTCCAATACTAATTAACCTAAAACAATTAAACTTCATATGTCGAGACACCTTGATGACTTCTACCAATCACACACATTTTCAGGTCAATAGGTCAAAATCACTGGTACCGGTTATGTAAAAATCAACAGGTCATAAATAAAAGTGAAAGTGCATATCGAGGGTTGACCGCTTAAACTGCAGTATCTAAATATATGAAGTAAAGAAGGACATACACATTTGCGGATATTTCAAAATTACAAATTGTACCAGTTCATGTTACATGTTGAATTTTACTTAAGCCGGTGCTTGGTGGCGTGAACGGTAGTTTGCACTTGACATACCGTCTATGAACAGGCTCAATCAAACCGAGCCTGCAACATTTTCAATTTTGTCGTGTTGGGCTCTCTTTAGGGATTCTTATTTTCTATATTTTACAACTGTTCTACGATTAACCCTTGATATACATAGTGACTTCATTCTTTCTATGTGGATACATCTTAATATATCTAGTCCTCAGGTGACTGACTGGGGCCAATTGCCCCCTTTGTTATAAATGGAACATTATTCCTTCTTGTTAATTGCATCATTATCCAGGTTGTTGTTAAGCTGAGAGAGTTGTCAATTTCGCATTTAAACACACTGCAGGAAACAGAAATGGCAAATCGAGTTGCAACTATCTTTTTTAAAAGCTTACCTTGTGAATTATTATAATAGCCGACATGTTCTGAGTGAGAATTCGTAAGCGTATGCGGCACGCTTGTTCTATTTTTACAAATGACGTACTATTATAAAAGTATCGATATGGAGAAGAAGACACTGTCAACGTTACAGGTAAGTTATGTGTATTCATTTCTGTTCAAGCTCACCTTCGTTCCTTATCTATATACATGTATATATCTATATACATGTATATATTCTACTAGAAGGCTGAATGAGTTACAAGTCATTCCTAAAAAACAGGAAAATGTATTTACTTTTCGTAGGTTTTAATTGATTTGTTAAATAAATGTAAAACATAAATGTCATGTATTTGAAAACGATCATTATTTAAGTTGCTTTATCAGTATGTTTGTATATGAACGTTTACATGTACAACGTTATCACATTGAATAGATAAATCGCCTGATCACGTCAGTCAAGGAGTCATACAAATAAATGAGATTAGAAATTAAGGTCATAAAACTAAACAATATCTTCAAAACCAATCACGAGTTGGAAAAGGAAATATTTAAATATTTGTGATGTAAAGTGCTTGGTGAGTTGTTTTATATATTTTTTTTTGTTTCAAAAATGGTAAAATTAGTTATTTTCTTAAAGGGACTGCTGTTTTTAATGTTGAGAGTCCTAACTGCATTTTATTCAGAGAATTTTGTATCATCTGATAAAGGCCTGTACCAATAACGTGTGTACAATTGTTCGGATCATTCCCTAACTCTATTTATTTTCAGAATAATATTCTTATAATGCAAAATGACCCTTAAAATGAGAGGTTTTGAATCGCTTTGCACTCATATCGGGGAAGGAAACGCACAAATAAATCGAATTTTTATTTTAATGTATTTCACAGATCTTTCAAAGTAAGTGTTTCACAAGATTATGTTAGAATTAAATAAAATATGTTTACAGGCTTTTCTACCTCGGTAAAAGCTCCTTTTATAAATAACAAACAAAAAAACAAACAAAATACAAACAAAAAAAACACATGGAAGTAGTTTAAAGATCTTGTAACTTATTTTTATATATCATATATATGATGCTCAAATGAATATTAATTAATATTGTAAGTTCCAAAAAACTCATTATTTATAAAGATACTTCAAAGACTTTCAACATAGCGACCCAAATAATTCGCGCAACACGTCGTCTCAATATGGTGAGCATTTCTTTGAAATAAATGTAAAATCCGACTTCAAACAAAAACGATGTTATGGGCCGGACACGATTTCGAAGGTCACAGCAAGGAACTTCAAGGTAACGATCCGGTCGTCCAAATGTTGCGCGCGACAGGTTGTCTCAATATGGTGATCATTTCTGTGAAATAGTTGTTAAAGATTTATTGATGATCATTTCATAGAAGACTTTATGAACTGAACCATTGGTGTTCCTACAAACCTCTGTACGCTAAAAAATGTCATCAGAAAAAGAGACGTTGCATACACGTAGCATAGCAATAAGTTTAACAGTAAAAAAACGGAAACGGAAATGTCATTGCAATAACAGTTGCAAATGGTTTGTGTTCTTATAAGTTATTTTGTGTGTTTGAACAAATTACGGTATTGTGACACTGGTGTTAACGTTCAGCCAACGCTTGTCTTTATCGAAACCACCATGAAATCTGCAGTACCAAACATTCTCCTCTGGAAGAAGTCGACTGAATTATATTTTGAATATATAAACGCTGGATAGGATGGCTGGTCATCGAACAAACATCGGGGGTTGGCAGCAACAGAATTAATAACTATTAGGTGACCACGGTCATTTGTACACCCACCATAATTTCTGTTGATGTAGAAACGACGATCATGTAGCGTGTTGATGAAGTGACCTGCAATAGAGAAATAGTTGAAGACACTTTTTGACGTCAGGTCTGCCCAGCTTGAATCAATCACACGTTTCCTATCAAACCAGTTGTGTATGTTGCTGTCCACCCCGTTGAAGATCACGTATGCTACCTTTTTTGTCAGTATCATAGAACGCAAATTTAACCAGCTTTATACCAAGGTTTGACCAGTTGTCTAAGATGTTATCCCGAAAGTGTAAACCATAAGAACGTTTCATGGAAACTGGTTTGTCTGTGTTTGAATTCTTTCCTGAAAATGACGAAACATAAATAACACTCTATACACGTATACTGTTCAATTTTAACATGATATAAATGTAATGTTGGTAAATAAGGATATCAATTTAGTAAACATACATACTAAAAATGGAACAGCTTTAATAAATAACATTATTGGAAAATATACAATTACAGCGGTGTGTCAAATGCCTTTTTTATTCGTTATACATTTTGACTATTCAATTAACAATGTTGATAGTAAACAAAACTGAATCCATAAATGCATATTTGCGAAACTTATTGTGTTTAAGAAAATGAAACAAAAATGCTTAAAATGTAATCAATCATTAAATTCCTAGCATTGAAAACAATTTACATTTTTTAATTGTGTTATATTTTATTATAGCTTTATCAATTTCAGTACTTTAATTTTAAGTATTCAACATCTTTAAAGCAGCTTAACATGGGTATGACATTGAAGAAACGTAGATATTTATTTACACCAGGAAGATATCTGGAAAGAGATGTTCAGGTTGATATGACATTATTTAGGAGGAAGATTTGTTTGTCAGATATGATGATATTTTGGTAGACAAAAACGAAAACTGAAAACGTTTTAAATATTCGTTTTGTTGAAGGGGAGTAGTATTTCTTTTGTTTTGTTTTTTAAATGTTTTAGATGTTTTATGTCAAGCTATTACATTTGACTTTCTAATCGTCCTGTCTACTTGTTTGCCTCGCTTACTCTCTTGAAAAAGGGAGATCCCTCAAGAGTAATGAAAACAATTTTGATTGAGTGCGATCATGCAAAACAATCGAAAATTTAAGCAGTATACGATATTCAACACAATACAATGTTTTGCAATTCATGACTCCGATTGACTATGAAAATATAATAAAACTGAAGTGAAGTACATAACAACTGATAACAGCTGACACATCACAATTGAAACCATCTTTGTGAAAATAAAATTTGCGAAGAAAAGTAAGCGATGCAAATAATAAATGAAACGTGGATTGTTGAGATAATCATTGCTATTAGTGATAAAAGTACCGTCAATCCAAGCATAGTAAACACTATGTCCATTGTCAGATGTCCCTCTAAATACCATCCTCCAACCATCTTGCTCTAAATCCTCCGTCTTCAATACATTCATACCATTGTTATGTAAAATGTTATCTTAAAGTTTATCACATAAATCAATATCGGACAAGATGTTTGACCCATAAAACACTTTTTATGAAAAATAAAATCAAAATCATGGTCGTACGTTGCCAAAGTGATATAATAATTTCTATGTCTCTGTATTATTCGCGTTTAATAATTAAACGGATAATTAAACGGTGAATTATTTGCCGTTTTCATGTGTTCTCTGAATACATCAAATTATGTTAGAAAATGATGTACATTTGATGTTATTTTTATAACTCGTATATGTGGTCTGATACCTATGCATAACATGTGTTTAATGGCAGAAATATTAAACATTGATTTACAGAAGAAATAGATCGAACAATTACTCGGGTTTGCGCCTGGTAAGAGATAAAAGTGTTGTTATTTTGAAACGAGGTGATAAAGCGAGTAAAACGCAAGGACTATAGTAATTTTGCAGTTTTTGTTTGGGTGACGGTGTATAGGTTCGTTTCTCAAGGGCAGTTTATCCACATCGTACAATTTGGTACGGAATATTATTGACTTTAGATTAGGCTGTGCGTTTGAGTGATATTGACTTTATTTTAATTGTCAACTGTAGACTCCGTTACCGGAACCAACCAATACTAAGCAATGAGTATAAAGAATCTTGCTCTATGAACCAACAGCTTGCCCTCTTGTGGGTGAACCCACGCGACAAGTAATTCGTAAATTTCTGGTCCGACGTGTTAAGCACTCGGCCATTTATTAATTGGAGATGAATTTATTAAATTTAATTTAATGATACTGTACATTGTAATATGTGTGTGTATGTTTCAATATTAATCATGTTAGAGTTAGTACATGATCTGAAATATAGTGATGCTATTTCGTGCTTAAAAGTGAATCAAAGAGTAATTGCAACAATAACATTCATATTTAACAAGTCCGAAGGAATTGTCTCTATTTACCTAGCAAATAAGTGACTAAAATCAGTAGTTATTGTATGTTGAATATTCTATAGGGTTTTTTGTTTGAATACTCACTAATATATAGTAATAATTTAAATATTAAATAAGTCATCAGAAATATTTTTAAAGTACTATATAATGTAATAATTATGATTTTACTCAATATAGTCTATTCGCAATAATAAAGAATTATATTTTTAGTACAGGCACACACACTGTTAAAAACACATGATTATGAAACTCGATAATTTGATTATTGTTTTTCCTATGTCAAAATTTTTAGTTAAATGTATAGCCTTGTCTATTCAGTATTGAAATAAAACGACCAAGTCGTTACATATAAACCACCAAATAATTTTAATAAGATTATGTTTCTTTCTTTCTTTCTTATTTATTTTAATTTATTCATTACACGTGCACAACTACTTAGATAATAATCAAAACGTTTAACAATATATGATACGATCAATAACTGATTAAAGTTCAAATCTATTTAAGAAACGTGCAAAAAAACTATCTTGTTACTATTTATGTAAAATTGAATTTTCTGGCTGTTAAATATTTGTTAAGTTATGCTCGAATGCGCCTTTCACATCTGACGTGAACGACAAACGGGTATGAACATTGATAAATAACGCGGATAACTGGGCAGGTAAGCTGTTTTATTTCGTGAGTACTTTCGTTTAAAGCTCAAGTTTATACTTTATATTTATACATACATAAATATTCTATACGAAGACTGAAAATGATATAAATCATTTATACAAATAAAGAAAAGAATCATGACAATGTTTAACTTTAAGTACAGGTTTAAATCGGTTTGTTAAGATATAACTTAAAACGTATTTGAAAACATTCATGCGTAGAATTTCAGGTATTCATTTACTCTCAGCAAGTCATACATATATAATGCATACAAATACACGTTTACAACTACAGTTAAGTGTGTTTGTTTTTTTTTTAAAATGATAAAAGCAAATATAAGTTACGTAAAACAATATTCTCTTCTATGAGGAAATTAAACAATAATCAATATAAAGATAATGATAATGTCAAATTCTTGGTTTTATTATAGTGTCATATTCTATATTCAGTAGCGTAAGCTATTTTAAATCAAACAAACAAAAAGAAACAAACATAAAAACAAGACCGAATAGATAAACGAATTATGATATTAACATAAACACAAAGATGCATTTTTTTGGTTAAAAAATATTTTACTCAATACACATACTTGTACAAACTTCGTTTGTTTTAAACATTATTTATTAACTACTACATCCAAATGATATCTTTAATCTTCAATATTGATCAGCTAGACTTGGTTTATTATTAAAAGAATTTTATCGGAAATTCAACGACCTCTTTAATGTTGTTAGTTATAGTATGAAATGTTGTTGGTTATAGTATGAGATACAAAATATGAAAGTTATAAGAACAAGACGAGTATGAATATATATTAAGAACTAAAATGCATTAATGAAGCAAAACATGCTATCTTTCACATCATCTGGCCATTTACCGTATATGAAGGACAGTGTAACTTGTAACTGTCGTCAAAGATTTCACTCATTGATTAAATCAAAACGACTATTCACTTATGAGATATCTGAGCAGTCTGTTCTTTGATATATAATCACTTATGCACTGGGTCAGTGAACTGCGGACCCGTCCTGGTACTAAATCTTAATGAAAAAACATAAAGGCCTATAAAAACCCATATTTAAAAGTTTTAAAAGCCTACGTAGGAGAAGTCAATCATTATCATAAATTATGTAAACGTCTTATTAGGAGTTTTTAAAGTTTATATTAGGAAAATAAACATTATAAAGAAAATTAAAATTCTAACTAGAGCTTTGTTTCTTCTTAATTGCAGTTATAAATACCTTATTACGTCTTTGTTACTCCTAAATGAATGCTAGGATAAATAAAATCCTAATAAGCACTTTGTTATTATTCTAAATAAAAGTTAAAGTCTTAATTTTAACTCTTTAATAGCTGATTAAGTAGGAGTAACAAAGTCCAATTTAGGCCCTTTACGCTGCTAATGTGTTAACTTTATCACATTTCTGCTAATATATGCATAAATGTAGTGCATTGATATTCCTCGGTCGATAGAAATGATAGTAGAAATGCGCAGTTTCGAAAAATATAAATAAGTAAGTGTTGTTTATTTTTGTGTGTGCTTGGTTATCAGCCTTTATCTAATTTTAAACGTAATAAAAGGTACAATTTCCAGTTTATATTTTCTTCTATATCAGTGTGATACATTTAGAAATAGTTCCAAAGAACTTCATGTATAACGGTGTTTTACGGAAGTTAAGGCTGCAAGTTCGTATTACGGGTGAACAATTTCTGGGGTATGGTTCAAGATTCCTCGATAATACTAAAATAAATAACGTCATGCTCTAATATTTGCAATTTCATTTGTAGAATGGCATCGTTAGATGAAGAAAGATATTTGAGACATATATGGCTGCTTGGAGAGGGAGGTTTGTTTGTATTACGAGGTGTTGTATCAAGAGAAGCAACAAATAGCGGTAGCACTCTCGACAATCTTCTGCAGAATGGACGAGCTCAATTCAAAGGCGTTTTACAGGAACAACACGATTGTCTTTTTCCCACTCCTACGACAGTTAACACAGATACCTACACTTGGGATATGTCGCTACTTTTGGTTGTGCTGAAGAAACTGTTTTGGTTAGGCTTGTCCCTTACAGAAAGAGCTTATCTGTCAGCTTTGAAGACCTATCGGAATGCTTTCCAAGGACATCCGACACAATTGTCTATGAATGCATCAGATTATTCTAGCAATCGACAGCTACTAGAGCAGGCTTTACGACAACTTGCATCAGGAATAAATGGGAACGTTGAAATTGAAAGTATCATCAAAAGAACGGCAACAGGCAGAATTGATTCAGATTCAATCCTTACACACATAAGAGAGATCTATGACTTCAAGACAAGTTTCCTAACAGCCGTCGAAGACATGCTACACTGCATCAATTCAAAATTCTCTTCTATTCAAGGTAATGCACATAATTTTCATTGTGATGCCTTTGAAAAAGTTATAATTGATGTTGTAAAATAAAGTATTTTAATACAGTCTACATGATTGTTTATTCAGACAAATACAATCTTTCTTGCAATTAACTGCATATCATCTAAAAATCGGTAAAAGTGAATTAATGGTAAATTTAGTTGAACTCCTTTAGCAGATTAAGTATGCTACATGTACCAAAGGCTTCAAACACAACATATGAACATATCGGTACAAACCTAGGTAACCTTATTGAAGCATAATTTTTTGCGACATTTTCTTTTTGAAAATAGATATGATTTAATTTATCGATTATTTGGCATATCAGAAAAGAAACTCGTGTTGGGAATTTGGTTTTATAATGTATGTACTTAACACTTTTGCCATGTTGAAACTTATTACTACAGTATTTGATTTATTGTAGCCAAATGGTAAAAAATCATATATCCCAAAGGTCACATTATTTACATTTCGATTTCATTTGGTAGAATCACATGGAAAATTTCAGACCTTAGTTACATTTTAAGAGATTTACATTTTGGTACTCTACAAAAGTTTAACATAATTATATGGGATTCAAATTTGGCAATGCTCTTGAAGTTACAATCTACAAAGGTCTTTCAGATAGAAATTTTGATTTAACTTAGACGTTGCTGGGTCGTATTGGGGTTGCGTTCATTGAACGCCGCCTTTCCTTGTTGATCTTGTTTATTACATTTTGAGGGCAACGTAGGTTATAAAATAATATCATTGTTTGGTCTGAAAGTCAAACGTCAAGATCTAAGATATCTGACATGAAAAATGATTTTAGTGGGTTTATACACACTTTAAAAGATTCTTCGCCTGCAGGTCAAAAGAACCTTTCGTTACATTTAGTTATATAGGAAATCAACTTCGAAAGTATTGTAATAAGCTACTACAGATATCTGGCACCTAGCCTTTTTAATTATTATATGATTTATCGGCATTGTGACTGTTGCCCCGACTGTAATCAACAACTACTGCAATGCCCACCTATAAACAAAGGTATTCTACAATATTCAGCATACCCTAACATTTATGATATTGACATATCCTTTTATTCCATTTATGCATTGACAATTTAACAAAAAGGAATTTAAGCCATTACAATAATATGATTGACAGGAAACGTGGAATTGTTGCTTTCGAAATTAACCAACATGCGAATCAAAGACGTGTGGAAAACGAAACATGAGTTTTCAAGAGGTAAATCACAGTTTGGATATTATAATATCTTTCCGAATACCTGAAATGTTACAACAACAAATTTATCTTTAAAATGTTCAATAATAATTTCATGATGCCCACTGACTGTAAGTACGGTACGCATGCTTCTTCATACCGCTCTATTTGTATTAACTTTTACAGTTACATATGTTTCCTAATAATTTTAACAATGCAGAAATGTGCATACATTTTGTAATGATTTCGTAAAAAGCGATAATGATTGGTGACTCGAACATACAAAAGAAAAACATGAAAATAAATAAACATGTAATAATGTTCTGTATGTAATTTCTTTTTTATTTCAAAACTTGTATCAACCCCTTCAGAGTTAAAAGTAATCATACAAGCCGAATGTGATAATGAAGAAAAACAAAAGAAAGCCAACGACTTACTGTTTGATTTTGTCAAGATAATAGAAAGTGATATTACAATTGAAAGTGATAAAATAAGAAGAAACATAGAAGTAAGGATGAAATGGTACGGAGAACCTACACTACAATTGCTAGATGATTTAATAGAATGGTTCAGTGATATAGCAGACCTGGCTAACGGAATTGGCAATGCTCGTTTGGGTAGTATCGTTTTACCAATTTTCTGTTCCTCGGTGCCGGACATTCTTACGCTTTTGAAATATATGAATGGTGATCAAAACAAACAGCATTTATCAAGAATTGCTTCAACTGTCAGAGAATTACTTGGCTTCCCGTGCTCGTTGTCTTTGAAAGTGAAACCTATGCGTCTCAGAAGTGCTCTTTCCTCAAGTTGTAAGTTTTCTGTAATAAAAGGGGACTTTGCTTGTTTAAGTATATATAGCTATATATCTACCTCTCGTAAGTCACACTATCTATTGTTTTATTTATGAAAATGAAGAGTCTTAAACTACCTGTATGAAAAAATATGTGTTTATGTTTCCTTAAACGTGAATTATCCATGCCGGTAAAACTCTACTTACAATAGTAGCATTATATACTTGGAACATTTTATTCTGTTTGCGTTTAATATTCATGTGTTTATTAAAAGAATAATTTTACGAATACATGTACAATTATTTCGAGGTCCAAACATCAACAGCACAATTTTACTGATTATTTTTCTTATAAAAAATAATGAATAAAAATAGCTGGATGCCCTTTAACTTAATGATTTTCACACAAATAAAACGCAAGAAAAAATTAAATCTTTTAAAAATAAAGTAAAATACTCAAAATATTATACCAGCGGAATTGTTTAGATTTATAGCTAAATCAATTTCACTTCTATTAGAAAATGTTTGTTTTCTAAATAAAAGGCATTCTGACATTATATTGATTTTCTAAGTAATTCAGTATCTTTTATTTCAAAGACCAAAACATTTACGTACACTGCGTACGCATTGGCATTAAAAGATAAAAATATTTCAAGCACTCGATATGTGTTATTGAGGATAGTCGTTTTTTATACTTAAGCCTGTTCTTCCTTAATCTGTATGGATTTTCAATTTAAGTTTTTTATTGATCAGTTGTCTTTCTTGGTATAACATAAATCAATTTTAACTGAAATAAATACGTCTCCGTTATGTTTCCTTCTTTTCTGAAGTCCCAACTGCATGTAAATAACAGGCTATTTTGATATGTTTTAAATGTCCAAATTTTACTGTAAAATAGTTCAGAAATTTTAAAGTGTTTATTTCTACTCTTTCTTATATTTTTGTCAGTGTTAAGCCCTGTAAAAGAAAAAAAATCAAAGAAAGAAAAGGATTTAGTACTACCTATTACTGTCACTAATATAGAACCGTTGACAGATATTTGGAAATGTTAGGAGACGAACAGAGAAGCAGTAATATGGAAAAGATATCCGCTACATTGTCACAAATATTTGGAGATGCAATTCGTCTTGAAACATATGTGGAGAATGATCAGTTAGAGAGTATTATATATGAAAGAGGTAATATTTAGACATTAACTTCTTATTGATAACACTTTATAAGAATGTTATGGAAATAAAGAAAACAAAATGGGAAAAAATGATACAAATAATGTCCGGTTCGCTTAATACATAGAGCGTTGGACTCTGAAGCAGGCAAAACAGGTTCGATTCCCTGGCCATGCTAGTCACTTTCATGAAATATCCTTTTTACGTTAATATGCACTATACTTTCGATCTATTATGTGCAAAAGTTATCATCTCCCTGCTAAAGAGAAAGCAATAATTCTTGTTTACTGCTTGACTGTATGCCCAGAAACGATGCAGTGGTTCAAATGTGCTCTGGTAAATTCAAATAGGCTTACTGCAGTGATCTACTGGGGCTATCTACCACTACCAAAAAAAAAATAACCGATAGAAAATCTGTGCCAAACCCCATTCATGTAAAATACTATCAGTCTTAAGAGAAATGTACACGAAAGTAATAAGCAACAATTACGTGAATTTACTTATATTATATACATTTAGTTATGCTAAAACTTTTATCATTGTTTTACTCATTTAATCAGGTTACATTGAAAGCCAACCTGACAAAGCAACTGATGATCAATCACCTGACAAAGAACACATAAAGAAAATTCAGAGAACGTTAGGTTCGACTGATTTTGATGAAGGTAAACTTTATCCTTATAGTCAAAACATCATAATGCTACCACAAACAACTTATTCATCAACATGGGGATATACTGATTGTAATAAAGAACGTTTTATGAATATGGTGACATGTTAACTGCTGGAAAGAATATTAATGCTCTTGGTCAATATAAACTTTTCAGAACACAACACAACAGATTTACTAGGTAAATAGTTCACCTCTGTGATAGTATACAATTTATACATAATTTTCTATATTGCACATCAATCAACCTTTACCGATATTGCTTCGGTTTGTGTTGAATTCATTTTCGATGGTTGGAAAATTCACAATTTTACCATTTGCATTTTCCTCACGCCTGGTCTATGTTTAATGACTTTTTCTGTTTCGTTTCCTCGTTCAGTAAATATCCGTCTAAAACGCTTGCATGTATAGTTCCTATATTAAATGAAAATAACAATAGATGGCAATAAATAGTTCATGAGTCGTTCATGAATTTCCTTATAGGAATTTCTTCTTTGTTAATGGTGAAAACATAATTACAATTTATATACGTTTATAACTTTCGAAGGCCACAGGCTGTATGATGATGTCATAGTCATGTAATAAACAAAAATTGATAGTATGAGCAAAAGGACAGATATTTGATTGAACAGGACTCGAGGTCATTGCCTTTCTATTGTTGTTGTTGAATAGGGAGTAAATAGTTCTTTATGCTGTTCCTCATTGAACTAGTCTTCGAAGCATGAGCAAACGGACAGACAGTTCAATATCTAATACTTAATTAATATAAAAAAAATCAACTATTACTGTTTCATACAATAATACTCTAAAAATGCATGCCTTTTAATACAAAATCAAACATTTGTTTGTGTGACTCATACATACATGTATGATGAAACATTTACTTATTTCCGTTCATTGCAATCTTAAAAGGGGTAACATTGGTAAACAACTATGCGTTTACATATATAATATGTCAAATGTTACATAATCATGGCCCATAGATGTGTTACTGGACACCATCTAATGTATCATTAAATGTAACAATCCTTGAGCTCAGGTTTCGATCAGCTCTATGAATAAAGCATGATACTATCTGAAAGAAGTGTGATAAAAATACTGAATTTATAGACTAAAAATGATATAACATGTTATTTTGGTTTTGGAGTGATATATTTGGATATATTACCTGTCAAGATTTTATATCCCCCAGCCGTTGGGTGAGGGTGATATTTTGTCTTGGAAGGTAATATATCAATATATATCACTCAAAAACCAAAATGATAATTTTATTACCATTCCCATGCCGAGTTAAGACGATTTTAAAATAAATAATTGCTACTTCAAATGAAACGTCGAAATAAGATTCCCTTTAGTGTACCCCTTCGCCACAACATGATGTCACATAAATGCATGATGTAGTTTCTTTCGAACCTAACAAATGTAAACAAGAGAAAAGGAGTAGTCTGTTGGACGCACTTTTTGGAATTACTATCAAGCTTTTACAAGGTCATATTTGTTTTCAATACTGATGAGAATATGTATCATTACTCTATTTTCGTAAATATTTATCATTTGACAGTTAAAAAGTGCTTGTAAATCGGAATTTACGTCGCGTAAAATCAAAATGTACGCGCATCGCCACAGCGCATGTTGTTTTCAACTTGGGGAAACCAACGGGGAAATTTAGTGTGTATATTACACGTCTGGCTCGGTAATATCAATTTCTTTCAGGTGATCAATATCCAATCAAAAAGGCGGAAAAATCTGGAAGGGTATTAATATTATACATGCGACTTAATTTGTGCCATATCCTTTTTTGTTTGTCTGGTGTCCTATAGCTACTGCGCTACTTGTCGGTAGGTCTGTGGTGCTGGGTCGTGTTGGGGTTGCATTATTTGAACGCCGCCCTTTCTTAGTGATCTTGCGCTTCATATATATATTTGCCAACGAGGAGATGATGATGTTATTTCTTTAGTATGAAATAGATAATTCTACACCAATAACATATACTGTTTTGACCACATTACTTTTTACATAATTATTTATCATGAGAGTGATATAATATAATGGTTATTTATACAAAGTCGATTTCAGTTATATTATTTTCTTAAAATATCGAACAATTGTTATCCCGGCAATTTAGAGAACTGCACTTATATTGTTATACTTTTAAGGCTACTAAGTATTTCTAGAGCAATATAATATTGAAACAAAAGCAATAAACTATAGTACTTCTTTGGAATATATTACTATTACAGACTCAAAAAATCTATACAATGAGACTATGTTAACAAATTACTCCTTATTTCCAATGCACAATTCAGATAGCAAGCTAGATTGTTCAAAGTGTGTACATTCTTTGATTTAAACAACTGAGTGAGTTTAAACACACTAGGACGTTCATAGTAATCATTGTCTATATATCGTTTTCTTACACTTTTATACTTTGTACATGTTAAAATAAAATGATATTCATCTTTAATGTCATTTAATCCACATTCTTCGCAAACTCTCTGGCTCCTTTCTATCCTATTCTGTCCGTATCTACCGGACTCAATACCTAGTTTATGTGAAGAGAGTCCAAACTTTGTTAAAACTTGTCTACACTTTTTTGATCTAACAACACTCAAGTAATTCTTATACACAAATTCTTGTTTAACATTCTTATACACAAATAAAACACAATTGTTAGTCAAACTACTATTCCAGTCTTGCACAAAAGTATCTATTAACCGCTGCTGAAACAGTTAATATCAACACTTTGTGGTGATTCCCAAATATATTATCAACTTTAATTGTGCACACATAAGACAATCAATTTTACCAAACCATTTTTTAAGTATTAAAAGGAATTAAAATACTCCTAAATTCCCAAGGAAAAATCATATGAACATACCTTTTCTTTGTGATAATTTACCTGAAAATAGTGGACCGTTACCTAAATTCTTTTTTTTTAATCTTTTTTTATTCTCAAATAATTATTTTAACTAATCATCTAGCATAAACTTAAAAAAAAATATTTTTACCTCTTAAACCCACCACATAGTGTTAAGTGGGACTGTGCCTTTTTTCCTCAATCCCCCGAAAAGACCTTAACTGATTATTTAAAGAAAGACAAAGGCAAAATTTTCATTTCTTCATTTTGAATTTTTCATTCATTATTCTGTATATGTCCTCTAAATGAATACAATAGGCAAACACAGGAACAAAAGTTTTCTCCTTATAAATTTATAGTAAAACGGCGGTTTCCTAATTTGACACACGTTGGTCAGGTTAGAGCGTTAAAATTCCACAATAGTTGTCACAGTGAACTTTGGATGCGTTTATGGATGACTTGAACTTGTTTCTATCAACAATATCCACAATATCTGTTATTGTAACTTCCATGGTTTTGCTCAAGGCATATGGCTTTGTTTTAAATCTACTCGGCGATTATGTCGCCGTCTAAATTTCGTTCAACATAATTATATGAATAAATTTACGATTCAAACCCAAAATGTATAGAATATATACAGAAATACATGCTGGGACTATTAAAAAAGGTTATTTTAGCGTGATTTGAGTACTTAAGATCATTTTAATATATTTGTCATTAATTTTCCTGAGTATCCCTTTAAAGGTTTTTGCAAAGCGTTGTAGTTTAGGGCGTCAGTTTACTTTGGTATTTAGGATATGCTTTAGACATTCAGACGGAAAAATAATTTATTTGACAAAAATACCGGCTAAATGGTTAATAGATACCAAGAATTACACCTTGCATTCAATTTCATTACCTGCAAAATTCCTTAATCATAAAATACAAAGATTGCACATTTGAAAGGAACACTTGGTCGCTTTTAATATACGGAGAGATAAATTAATAGTAAAACCACTATGTTGTTATATTTTCTTCTGTTTTGAAACAGACAAGATTAGAAAATGACAACATGCCAATTATTAGTCATAAATAATTCAGATTTATGACTTCCTGTTATATATAGTATTGTTTTAGACGGTTGTTTATGATATCAGATGCATGTTATAAACTTATTTCATATTTGATATTTGCGATGTTGATGCCAAAAGAATAGGTAAAAGGGCAAAGATATGCTGCGAATATGCTTCAATGACGATGAATTTATTTTGGGACGTTTTGTGACGTTATGCATATCCTCGTGTCAATGTTGATACAGGAATGTAGGAATAATAACAATAAAAAGAAGGTTTAAAATTTGCAATATTTATTCATGTCTTCTTGCTTTAGAATTTAATACTCAACAACGCACGCAGTGCCTGTGAATATCCATAAATATCATCGGAATGCATCGGTTTTGCTCAGTAGGATAAAAGAGTATTGCAGTCCCTTAATATTTTAGGCAGTTTTTATATTTCATAGCATACATTTATTAAATACCGATATTGGGTTAATCACCATTAAAAGTTTATCTTTTTAAATATATTATATTTAATATAACTAAACATAACAATAAAATGGGTATTAATGTCACTAATAAACAATGATTTATAATTTTAAGTATTCTAATTATAAAAATTGTAAAGACCATAACATTTCAAGCACCACGCCTCCAGATTCATGTTATCAGCACTTTGCCCACCAGTGCTCCATTTTGTTTAACCCTTCAAAATATATAATTTTCATACATGTTTTGGAAGTGTATTTAAAAGTAAAGTAATGTGAGGTGAACATATAAAGAAATTTACATATTGCAATCGGCACTTACAATCCACGAAAATTACCAAAAAAGTGGTCAACATATGCAAAAACAGCCCTTACTACGTTAATAACGCAGTAGAAATATGGTGATAAAATACAGCAAAATCAGTGTTAAACGAGGGTTGTTCAAAAAGTAATAGGACTGGGAGTCTTGCGTACTCAAATTTCATTTAATTTAGAATATTTTCATATGTACAGCAACCGTAAAATGTGTCCTACAAATCAAACATAAGTTTTTTAATATATTGTGCTAAACGCCCTTTTCCTTTGCTTTTGAATAACCATGGTAACACGCACCC